AGAAGAAAATATAAACTAATAATTAATTTTCTTTTAACATATAGAGATTAATATTTTTTATTTTTATAAAATTTATTTTGTCTATTATTAAATAAAATAAAACTATCCATTTTTAATTTACATTCAACTAATATGATATTTCTTTTAACACAAATACATTTTTAAGTTATGTATTAGTTTTCAAATTTTATGTTATTATATTTATGTTTTATATTATTCTGAATATTAGATGCAATTGCAATTACAATTCATTAAAAAAAAAATTAAAATAAATAATACACGTAGAGTAATAATTTATAATTATTTGATTAAAAGCAGTTCAATTAAAAAGTTACCGTAAATGGAGAGTTTTGGCACCCACATCCTCACATTCCTATTTATTTTTAATATTATTGTAACTTACCAATTCACATTTCCAAACAAAGTGCACAATAATCTAATTACTTCAAATTAATATTTCTCATAAATTTATGTAAACAATTTAGTAAAATTAAACATATGTCAAAATATAAATTAAAAATATACAAAGAAAAAATATTAAATTTTAAACGAAAAATCATTTGGGAAATGGGCCTGGCAGACGCCCAGCCCATGTGGCCCACTAGACCTGATTCAAGCCCGAAATGATATTGTGACAAACCGACTGGGCCTTGTAAAATAGATGGGGCAAGATAATCAACTAGTCAGCATGGTTTTGCACGAGCACAACGTGCTGTATATATACATACACTTACAAATGTGTAATTTACACACATGCATACCGAAAATATAAGTTTTTAGAAAATATTAATTAAAAGGGGATGGAAACTTCGTGCCTAGAGCAGTTAGACATTTGGGCTCCATATTCTCGTGAATATTGTTTGCATGTGTGTGTGTGTGTGTGTATATTTAATACATATATAAGCATACTGCAAATGTAATTAGGTTTTCAGGTTTGAGTACAACGCGGCTAAAAGTCCTACTGAGACAAATTTGCCGGAATATAGAAGTTAAAAGAATGATAACGATCAATACGAGGTAAATTAATCAATGAAAAGAAATTAATTAAATCTATTCCTTTTAAACTTCTTCTTATCGATCGTAGTCATCAAACTGGATTTTATGAACTTGATGCATGAGTAGATCATCGGACTGATTGGTTAACCAGCGGCTCTGATCGGCTGTGTCTACTTTGATCATCAGTCTATCATGCTTATCTTCATCTTTTTTATCTTCAGCCTATAAATAGGGTGGAGGCCACTCCAATTCTTCACCCTCCCATTCTTAAATCTCTATCCCCCACTCACATAATCCACCCCCGCCATAGCCAAAGCTTCAATCGAAACTGACATCGTTAATATTTATATATGTATAATATATATATATATATAGGAGAGAAATTACGCTACAATCACAAAGATCTGGCAGGCTAAACCTAAGGAGAAGTATCTATAATTGTAGGTAAGAAGTGTATGCATATGTATATGTATAGGGGGGGGGGGGTGTGTATATATATTTAGATTATATACTGGCTTAGGAAGATGAAATAAACAATTCAAGGCTCACGGGCGTGCTTACAAATCTGTCGAAGTCTTTCTTTTACTTTGAACGTAGAAATCAAAAGGGAATTATAGGGAGCGTCAACGCACATACGTGGTTTTTAATTTTTCTTATTGATTAATTGATGTTACAAAATGATCTCGTGAAGAAATTTAGCCCACGTGAATTAATTATTGTATTTACTTTTTACTAAAACTATATATTAATTAGTTAAGTAATATAGAGAAACAAATTATGATACCATGTAAATAACCTTCAAGTAAAGATATCTACAAGAACACAATTTGCTTTAAACCTGTAACCTCTATTGCATGAAAAGATATATCAACTATTCAATTAAATGATAGCTGATATTTATTACACGATAATGATAAAAACATGCTGCTGTAATAACACAATTTTCCGATATTATCTCTTTGCTTGAATAATCTAATGTGTTGATGATAAAAGATAAATGACGTGTGTATACATATATATACACTCATATATATATGCAAAATCGGATAGTCAATTGTGATACTTTTATATGTAAAATGTATTTGATAGTGACTGTAATTTCTAGTATAAATTTAAAAGTTCTCCAAAATAATTGTTAAATAAATGTGTTTTTATTTAGTAATACTGATATATATATATATATATATATATATATATACATACACATGCATACATAATATTATGTATTATATTATATATATATTTGTGTAATATTATGTATAACATTATGTAATACCCATATATATCAAGATATATTTATATATAAGATAATATATATATACACTTAAAATAGTTAATTAAAAGCAGCAAAATTTTAATTTAAATTAGTGTTTCAATAATAATATTTAAAAATAAATTTTAATTATTTTTTTTTTCTTTTAATGATATTTGAACTTCTAATAATGACAATAGCTACTTGCATAAGACAATGACAATTGACAAACAACATGGCGAAGAAGGTGGCTAGTGAAAGATGATCTGTAAATAGTGGAAGGTGGGCAATAGGTGATGGATGGTGGATTACAAGTGATGAGCGACGGGTGATAGGCGGTGAATAGCAGGCAATTGAGGATGCTAACTGGCAATTATTGAAAGAGATGGAGGTTCTAGCAAGGGCCATTGTGAATTGATCAATAGAAAATTGTCTGCATCAATCACTGTTTGGGCAATAACTCAAAGTAGTCATTAATAAGTCTGTATTAGAAATACTTAGTCTGTAAGAATTCAAAAATCATATTGGCATTAATTTGATACCAATAGGTTGAGTTGCTTAGTAGAACTGGCTTACAAAATAGTGAAAATCTTTAAAGCCCAACCTATTAATGGACTTACTTGAGTATAAAGATGACCAACAAATCTAGTATAATTTATTTTTGCTATCACTAAATCCCACTAGAGTTTGATCACTCATCTTTCTATCTAAAAAGACAAATAAACTTGAGTAATAAGAATAGACTCATCACAAATGTTGGAATTGATTGACTTTATAAGAACTTCTTTACTTACCTTTGAAAATTTTATGTCATTCCATCTTTGAGTTTTCTTCACCACTCTGTCCACCAAGTAGCTAAATCTAATATTCAATTGAGGACCTAATATAGTAGCAAGACCTAAATAATTGTTATGCTCCTTTTTATATCTCATCCCAAGCATATCACCAAGTTGTTTTATCCGATGCACATTTACCACTTTTAAGAAAGATGTCGAGGACTTATACAAGTTAATTAAATATCTTGAGGCACAAAGATAAATTTCCAAAACCTCTCAAATAGTTTGAACATTATCCTTCATATTATGATAAAAAATAATACTTTATGTGCTAACAATAAGTGTGAAATAACTAGTTTTGAAAGACCAAATTTGATACCTTTCAGTCTTCTTTCATTTTTTGATTCCTTTAACAAAGTTGAGCATGCTTCTATACATAAAATAAACAAGTAAAGTGATGAAGGATCTCTTTGATGGAGAATCCTATTTGGTAGTAAAACTGGGATTATATCCCATTAATAATTATTAAATAAGACATAAAGGAGACACATTAGAGAGAAAAAATTACGAGTAAATCCTGATTTCAATAATACCACTTATAAAAAATGGCATGTTATTCTTTCTAATATATAATTTTTAATTAAATATCCCATATTTAGAGTTTCATTGATGCTTTATATAACGAATATGTGGCGTTCAAGAATGAAAGCATATTGTAAGATATGCACAATATGATCAATGTGTTGGTCGTTTTAGTGATAATTTTCATAATCACATTACATAAACTAATAAGTTTATAGTTAGATAGGTAATAAGAATCAACTATTTTTTACATAAAGATGAAATTATCCTATAACAAAATAAATAATATCATTGTTTATAACATGCCAAGATTTTTGGTAAAGAATATGAGGTATACCATATGGACCCAAAGCTCTTAATAGGATGCTTTTATTTTAAGGCATCAGAGAATTCTTTTATTGAATAAGATATTAGTAGTAATGCATTCACATCTGATGTTACTTTTGGGTCAACATACTTGAGTACATGATCAATATTAATAGACTTAGCCTCCTCTAACAAATATAAAAGATGCTCAAGAAAAGAAACAGCTATGTCTTCATGTTCACTTAGCCATATAACACTGGCCTTCCTAATCCATCTGATCATATTCCTTTCTCTTCTTTCTGTAGCCCTGACATGAAAGAATTTTTTATTTTGGTTCCCCACTTGACCCAAATAATTATTGAGTATTGTGCCCATAAGATATCTTCCTTCTTATAGAACTCACCTAACCCCTCATACAATTTTTAACTTCTACCTATTTTCTTCAAAATCACGATTTTCTTGTAAAACACCTATTTGATTTTAAAAAAAAAATCTTATTTTCTACTTCACTTTCCCTTTTACATCTCTTTCTAAATATATTGGAACTTATTTTTTAGTTAGAGAAATACATTATAATTTTAAAAGTTCTTTGTAGTAAATTAAACTAATGATCTCTATCATGGTATAAATAACCTTAACCAAATTCCACCACATAATTCTATGTTTATTTACTTTTTAATTTTTCTAATTTAATTTAACACGTTGACCTCTAACCAACTAAACTACTTGGTTTTTCAGTTTTTTTCTTGTCCCTCTTTCTTTTTCCTTTATAAAATAAATATATATAACTTTTGGATGTGTAAGTTAACATCAATGCCTATATATCTATTAAGGTTGTACTTGGTTTAATTTTAATTATACAGAATAAGAATGAGAATATAATATAAATAAAGTAAATTTTGAATTAAAATGAAACTCTAATTCCAATGTATATATCTATTAATGTTAATTTGGTCTTGTTTTATAATTTTTCATTATAAATAAATGATATCTTAAATTCCTTGATGTGAAATTGACTAAATAAACAAAAAAAAATTTAACTACATATCAAATATGCAAATTCTGGTTAAGTTCAACATATTAAATAATTAAAGTTCAAGGATTAAATAAAAATAAGGCATAGTAAAACCAAACCCAAGCTAAAAGAGAGACTTGTGAATTAATTCACATATATATGAAGTTAATTTTCACAACTGTACAATATTAATCTATATTCAAGATTAAATCCAAAAAAAAAACAATAGAAAATTCAACCAATTACAAATCAACAAAGTGAAAACTAACAAAAATAGGGGATTACGCATTTATATACTAACAAGTAAAGAATCAACTAATTAGAGAAGAAAGATATCAAAAGGAATTGGGGGGATCAACAAGGGATATTTATGACTCTTGATCACGGCTCTCCTCCAATATGATATATTTGCTTCAAGTGATCGTTTAATTTGTAAATAATTAGAAAGAAACCTTGTAATTACAACTCCAATTTCCATCGAAAATATTCCTTAGGAACCTCAAGAATTTTTGCAGCTTCTCAGCAATTCTCCCCGATTGCCTTTCCCTTTTTTTAATGGAAATATCAGACGTATCATTAGCAGCAGTACTACTAAATCGAAGCTCGTCATAGTACTTGATGAAATATTTTCTAGTGAATCCATCTTCTTCTTCCTCCTCCTCCTCTTCGTCGGCTAGTAAATGTGGTGGAGTCATTTCCTCATCACGCTCCCACTCTTCTACGTCCATTCCCCATTCACAATGATCTACTCCCGCCATTGCTAAAGCTTCTATTGAAGCTCTCATGGTTTATGCAGAGACGCTTCTGCAAACTCTTCTTCTAAAGCGTTGTAGTTTCTGATGAGACTAAGTTATTAACATAAGATTATCCTTGCGAACTTAATAACTCCCAGTTATATGGTAAGTGGTGTTTGCATGAAGAGTTCACGTATATATATACACATTGCATACATACAGATGCTGAATTTTCCGGGAAAGCA